AGTGGTGCGCATTCGCTGTCAAAATAAAAAACACGCACAAAGGTTAGGGTTAAATTTAAAAACTGTACTTTTGAGTTAAAATATATATTTATAATTTTAATAAATGACAAATTAAAAAGGCATGAACAATTTTTTTGTATGGAAAAAATATCGAACCGTGACACCAAAGTATCGAACCGAACCGTGAATTTTGTGTATCATTGCACCCCTAATATATATATATGTTATATATATATACAGTATATATACAATGCAATTTTCTTGTCAAAGCAAACTGGATTTTATATTAAGTTTATCCCTTATGTTGTTTAACAAGATGACACTAAACACAGCGCCAAGGTCATTAAGGAGACTATCTCTTCTTTACAGCCTGATTTCTCTGGCACGCCTTGACCTGACACTATCAGTCACTTCAGGTTAGTACCTGATAGTGTTGTAACAACTCCTTCTGCCAAAAAAAAAAAAAAAAGAAGAAGTTTGGCTGCAGTTTAAAATGTAAATAAAAAACATAATCCACTGACCTCCAGATCATTAAGTTGATGGACAACATATGACTAAACGGTAGTTTTCCATAGTTTTTACTTATAGTGAATAGTGATTACATTACTTGCGTGGTTATTCAATCACTTCAAACGCTTTTTGTGATATTTTGATGTTGAGACTGTCAACACCTTTGGCCTATAAAAGAAAAGAGATGATGTCTTTTTTTTAATATTATCTTTCTATTTCATCTTTTATCTTTTCTAATGTAAATACACCTCTTTGACAAGCCCTGCTCCCTTTTCTTTCATCCTGACCGCTGTGAAGACAAGCCTAGACAAAAGCCTTCAGTGAGGCAGCCCCCGCACACTTGTGTGGTGCGGGTGCCAAAGGGCGGCCCTTGCTCAGTGCTAACAGAGTGACATCATCGTGGCTGGACCTTGTGAGCCTAAGGAGGGATTACTAGTGACTAGCTCCACTGACAAAACCCTTTGAATTTTACCCGTGAGCTATCCGAGCCAAGGCTGATTTAGAAAGCTTTTGTTGGTATTTTTTTTTGTATTATACTTTGTTATTTGTACGACTTGCATACTACATTATCAGTTTGACATTTTGTAGCAGGGGCATGTTTGCCCCCGTGTTGCATCAGTTCTGCTTTAAACAGGTGGCTGGGAACTGAGACACCCAGCTGCCTTACTTTCCAAATGCCAAGTGTTTTCTCCTAGGATTTCACCTTCTTCTTTTTTTCATTTCATAACTTGCCAACTGCCTTCGCTAGAAGAGAGATCTGGACTTCAGACAGGCTGGTTAAGTAGCTGCACTCTTTTACAGTGGAGGCAAGGTGTTACAGTGTGTGTTTAAAGGCTCGTAGACAAGGAAATATTGTAAGAAAACATATTTTATTATCACAACTTTAAGTGCAGCAGTTCAGCATTTGGTATTTCCATATGAACGGAAATGTATAAGACATCAACCAAAATACAAAAAAAAAGAAACTCACAGAATCAGACAATCCAGTGCAATTAAATATTAAATAGTACTAAATAATGATGTAACAAATCAAAAACAAGGCAACACAAACAGTACCATAAATAGACTTAAATAAATAACTAATAGAAAATGTTTACAAGCACAGGTATTTTTGCTTTTTAAACTAATGCATAACTCTGATTTTAAATTTAATTGCTTCGTTAATACTCATTGAAAACCTTTGTTTTTTGTGTTTTTGTGTATGTAACGCTTAAAAAAAAAAAAGACAACACACTCCAGAAAATACACTTCTTTAAATTTTGAAGAAGTGGGGGGTTGCATTTTCTCCTCAGGCACAGTAACATTTACTGACAATAAAGTCAGTGAAAGTAGTCAGTGTCAATTTTCCCCTGCTGTCGTAGTGCATGAGGACCATGGGCTCGTAGGCTGCCGGCACGCAACAGGGATGAGGTGTCCCTCCTTTGGTGATCTGGTGCAGCCGAGACTTGACCTGAGTGTGCATGCTTGCCGGCTTGTAGTTGTGGGGGCAGGTGCCGTCGCAAAAATGCATGGTGTATTCGACTGGGGCTACAACCCAGTCTGTCCAGCCGATGTCTTCGAAGGACACGGTGACTGACTTCCGGCAGCACCATCCTGGTTCAGCACAGTCATCTTCCTTGTTGGAGCGACGCTGCCTCGTCCTCTGCGCGGGGTTGGCTTGTGTGAGGTCTAATTCCAGAGAAAAGATCGGCTTGAGGGCCCCTCTGTTAGCCACCCCTACATCCACAACCAGTGGCTTCCCATTAGTCTTGAACCACTTCTCTACCTCTGGGATGATGTCCAGGTACGCATCTTGAATGTTTGAGATATTAGTTTGGGCTACAGAGTCAGTCCAGGCAGCCGGCCACACTGCTGGCTTTCCCCCATTGACTTTAATTTTAATCTCCTCCCTTGCTTCAGGCCTCACTGAAGTGAGTTTACCCAGAACCTGTCTGGAAATCTTCAGCTCTGCTCGAGCTACAGTCAAGTCATTCTGAATATTCGTATTCTTTTGGAAAACAGCTCTGTACCACCGCATGCTTGGACCTGACCGTGAACCCCTCCGAAGCGCTATAACTGGTGAAACTAAAGAAAAACACACACAAAAAACAACAAAGAAAATTAGAAACAAAGTTGTTAACATCCTTTGATCATTAGCATTGTGTCATAGAATAATTGGGAAGGGGGAAATAAAAGAGTATTGCATAAATTCTTTATGAAACTCTCTTGTAATTGGTTGTTATTGATAACACTAATAAAGTATCCTCAAAGTAAAGCATTGTGTACAAGGTGTGCCTGTCACGCTCATGATTTCTAAAAGCTTGCAGGAATGTGTTTGCTTTTTTACACCACAGTTTCATGACTATAGATTCTATTTTAAGCTACATCAGCCTTTATCAGGAATGTGAACTATTAGGAAAGATATTATTCGTAGTATTCATAACCACATCACCATAGCAGGTTTTGCAAGTACACAGTGTTAAACCTATACTATAATAAAGCCTCAGTCTTCTTCTTGTAATCCAACTTTCTAACCTGGCTTTTCACATCACTATTACAGCAGCTCAAGTGGGCGGCCCCGTCTAACAGAGTTCTCATCTGTACCTGGAAAGAGCACAGTGGACATGGTGGATTGCGAGTTTTCCCCCATTGGCTGGCTGGAATTTCCTCTTATCTCCCTTATTTTTCTCCTGTAGAGCTGATACATCTCCCTAAGCTCCTTTTTCGAGGCCTTTTGGGTCAGTCTGGGCTCCACGTCCATACCCAAAGAGCTGAGGATCCCTGTCTTCACAGCCTCCAGAAGCAGAACTGCCTGGCTGTCCATGCTCTCCATATCAGGTGTGTTTTCGTGGGCCTTGTGAAGCTGGCCTTCCCCTGAGGTGGAGGCGAGGAGCAGCAGCGTGCAGGTGACGAGTGGGAGAATCGTGTGGGAGATGCACATGGTGAGCCAGCCGGGTAGGTCTGATTTGTGAGAGCAGCAGCAGTCAATGGATAAGGTTTGCCTATGCTATGAACTAAATTCCTGGCATGCCTTCATTTATAGTGCTCCTGTGTTGCCACACCCCTGTTTGGTCAGGTGAGCCTGTGATGGGATCATCCAGAGCCATATGTCATAATATGGTAGCATTTTGTGTTATGTGATAACAAGATGTCAACTATAACATCAGAAATGTAAGAAAGAAAATTTTTAATCGTTTGCAAGTTTTATTGTTTTTATCAACACACAGAAGGAGGCGACAGCAGAAATGGGATGAAGAGATTTTGGGATAAGATTTGGTTACGTCCACCTCAGCATGATGAAGCATTTGAATTTCCAGTTATTCATTACTTTTCGCAAATAAATGATCCACACGGACCACTTCGAAGAAGTCCAACAGAGTTATGCATGTGATAGTTTAATGACCCTCACCAGTCTGTGTCTAAATGTTTCCAATGCAGCTGTGCCCAGTACAGTCAAAGGTCAAAAGCAAGTTCCAACTGATGAGAGATTCACCTAACATGTGTAAGCGGGCTGGCCATTTTCTGGCAAAGATAATAAAAAAAATAAACAAAGGGAGACAGTTTATTACGTCTATATCAAGGCTCTTAATGTTGAGCACCCTACAGAGTAAATGTCTCAAGGTTAGATAGAAGACAGATAAAAGAACAAAGAGGCAATCAATGTCAAAACAGGGAACTTTCTTAATCTGCCATGACAGCAATCATGTGGTCACACAATAGACCTAAGCTTAAATGTGTATTTTAGCACGAAATGGATCTGCATATCTGATCTCAGCCTCTTCTGTCCCCTGTGCTGAACAAGAGAGCAAAAATGCTGCAGTTTCCGTCACTGATGATTGATAGGACAGACTAAAGAAGTAAACAAATACATCATGGTGCTCTGCCAAGACCTTATCAGCACGTATAAGTCTCACTTTGGTCAGTAATAAGGGTCAGTGCACTGCCAAGCATTCTCCCCACCCTTATAATTGCGGAGATGTGTGCGAATCTGTAAACAGTGAGTCACCAAGGTGATGAAACAATCATGTGCTTTCCCAGGTGAGTTTTTGCCGGATGAAAGCGAGTGAAAGGTGTAAAGTGACTCACGCTGAACTGACACCCTGGTTTAATCTGTCATTAAATGCTTACAGTCTTCTCTGTCGGTCTTCATCTGTTGTTAAGTGAGATAGGAAAAAACCGTCTGACTCATTTTGTCAGCATGACTGAGGAGTTTCAGAGTACTGACAGTAAATGTCATCTCACACACTGCCCAGACCTGATGCAAAGTGTCATCAGACAAGACTAAAATGATGTAAAAGTATGTGTGTCCTTCTGTGTGATATATATATACACACACATATGTGTCTGATGACACGTTGCATCACGTCTGGGCATCAGGTTCGAGCTGTGAGTGGATATGATGAAATTCACTGTCAGTACGATATACAGCTGTTTTATATAGCTACATATATATATATAGATACATAATATGTATTTTTATATGTTTTACAAACCCTCCAGGCACAGAAACGTTCAATTCAGCAGTCATTTCGATTGAACTGCACCCATGTCATACGTGTTTTTGTTTGAAAAAGTTTTCAGAAACAACGTGACAGTGGATCATATAGATAGATAGATTTTAATTTAAAAAATAAATAAATCATGTTAATATTTCATTGACACGATTTATGACATTAATAATGGATTGGATTTATATAGCGCTTTTCAAGGCACCCAAAGCGCTTTACAATGTCACTATTCATTCACTCTCGCATTCACACAACCGTAGCTTGCCTTCCACAGCTTGTAGCCACAGTTGCACTGGGGCAGACTGACAGAGGCGAGGCTGGATATCGCGCCATCGGCCCCTTTGGCCGTAAAGTAGGGTAAAGTGTCTTGCCCAAGGACACAACGACCAGGACAGAGAGGGATCGAACTGGCAACCTTCCGGTTACAGATACGCTTCCTCAACCCCCTGAGCAACGGTTGCCTAACAATCATATCTGTAACTGAAACCATTCCCATAAGAATACGAGGTGACGTTTTCAACTTCAGACAGCTTGCGCATTGACTTATTGCACCGTGGCGCCCCCTCGTGATCGTAAAGCTACACTACAGAATTTAATTAGCTAAGTGAGGCTGGATTTGGTCAGGAGAAGGACGCAATTTTTAGCATAAACCTGAACCCAAGGTTGAGACAGACCAATAATACAGAAATGCTTTCTGTTCCAGATGTGAAATATTTTCTATATCTAACATGTCTGTGATTTCATCTCTAAACTGAGAAGTAACTACCAAACTTCACAATTGTACGGGGAGTTTTATCTCTTCCTCTTTCCCTTTCCCTTTCAGTGAACAAAAATAAACTTAGACTGAGTAAAAAGAGACACGGACGACTGGTGCGGTAGTAAAAAGATGACTTCAGCGGAGCTCCAAACGCTTTCACGGTCAGTCTTGACAACAGGCCGATGCACAAGAGGGATTCTGTCTGTTTCCAGTTAAATTAGATTCAAAGAAAAATGAATCAGGTGAATACAACAGCAGGCCGAGCGTCACCGGGGGAATCCACCCATCTTCAGTGTCTCATGGTTGGAAATCACTTCCTTGTAGGATTATGGTGTGCTTGGGCTGTAGTCTTGTTTGCCGAAGAGAACAGATTTAAAGAAAGGCAAACAGAAAACCCAAACACATTACTGTTTGTCTGTGATCACCATGGCTGACTGGTCGCAGAGGTTTGGAGTCAAAGACTTATACAGAGAACATGAGGAAACAATTTCAAAATATTTCATTCAAAGGTCTAATGCTTTAAATCTGCCACAAAAAGTCTGAAACACTTTTCACTTTTCATAAAAAGCTGTTTCGAACAAATATGAAAAAATGTGGATGTTTTAGTCAAGTGTTTCACACCTTCCCTCCGTAAAGCAGTCACACAAAGACAAAACAACACACCGTAGTGTGATAAACTGAGTCACTGTATTCAGTCACTCAGCTGAAAAAACCCAAAACTTTATTCTGACACAGTAAGTTTCCACTTTAGCTGTTTCAAATCAACAGTGAATTTCACGGGAGAACAAGGAAGGGTTCACATCCCCTCCCCTTATGTAAACTCACGTGTTACATCACAGGAGAAGAGATCGACCATTGTTTTATGAAAAAACAAACAAACCCCAAAACAAAAACATCATAGTGTCACTGCGTGACAGGCACAGATCAGTCCCCGCTGTTCAGCTTGACTTGAGAGCTCGGTTGTTGCGCATCCTCTCACTGTTAAAGCATGATTCCTCCAGGCACAAGCTGTTATTTGGCATGATGGGTTTTTTTTTCCTTTTTTCACAAGCTCACGAGAAACATCCTGCGTGGATGGCAGCATGCGGAAATGAATGGAGTGCGCGTGTTTCATGGGAATTTTGGTGGCAATGAAGAAAGGTGTCTGTTTCACACCTGTGTTGAATATTCATGAATTGTTTTTTGTTTGTTTGTTTGTTTTGTTTTATTTATGGGGGTGGGAGGTGTCTTGGGTTCTTAGGGGTTAAAAAAGGCCATTTAGCTACAGACAGTAAGGCGGTCAGCTTTTTGACAACTAGATGACAGAACGTCGATAAGAAGGTCAAAGCGCCAACCCCTCTCTTCATTAATAAGGTTAACACGCTGCATCTCTTCCCGGTCGGGTGATCAGCTGACTGGAGGACTGGTGGTGGCCACCTTTTGTGGTAGGTCCTGCAGCTCGCCCAGGGGAGGAGAAGGGGGAGGAGTAGGAGGAGGTGTTGATGGTGGTGCAGTAGAAGCAGCAACAGCAGGAGGGAGGAGGAGTGTATCCAACGCTCCCGGGGAGAGAACGGAGCGCAGGAATGGGCTGACTGACCGGGGATCCGCCGTGTGCTTTCGTTGTCTTCAGTGATGGATGAGCCGAATATCCTGAGACGCCGCGGTCTACAGGTAAACGGAGGCTGGCTGTCATGACAGCGCGCGGTTGTGGTTGTTTCTAGGGAAACGAGATTAGCTCAAAGTGATGAGCCATTTGCCGACGATGCAAGGCATTGATGTCAGCGTGGCTTATGTGGCGTGAGCTTATTTTTCATTAAAAAAAAAACCCCAAAACTTTCACCGTCGCTCTTTAGATCTGTGCTTTATTGATTAGATTATGTGGCATCGTTAGAAAATATTATGTGCACTGAGCATCTTCCCCATGCCCTGTGGGCATCCTTTCAGAAAAGGTGGAGTCCCACGAACCGCAGCAACGGGGACACATAATAAATTTTATGAATGTAAGGTGTGTATATCAGACCTGACCTCACTACTACTTAGCTACGTGTTTATTTTGGAGCTCTTTCTGTGTGCTTTGGACAATCTGGTTGCCTTGGTGATCTGGAGCACAAAAGCCAATGGTTCCTGGAAGACTGTCAGAAACATCTTCTCCTGGGTGCCATGTTCATTTGAAATGTTCACAGAATAATTAAGTGTTTGTTTTTGATACCATTAATGTCTGTATTTTCTGAATTCATTTAGTAGGCAAAGCTGCATTGTTTCCACCCAGGGTCTGTTGAGGCGGTAACACTGATCATCAGTCCAAACTGGGTGTTCCCATTCCCTTGTCTCTGTTTATAGTAACTAGTCTTTTCCCACCTTGCATTTATTGAATTTCGATGAAGTGGAGCGATGCAGTTACAATGAAAATAATGGTCATGGTGGAAATGCTGTTTCAGTGCACAGTTCTCCCTTTTTTAAAACCATCTTCATAGTCACTTTCTCAATTTTCAGACCACTGGAGGTAATGAAACAAGTGCAGGTAGTCTCAAATTCTGTGCACAGACTCTCGCAGTGTGACATGGTGCCACCCTGTCCTTCAAATCCTGACTGGCAAGAGCAGTTTTACAGTCCTCTTAGCTGAAACTCACGGACCGAGGATTTGCAATTAAATGGCTACAAGGCCCACTTGTCATCGCCAGAAACTAGGCCATTCAGCAGCTAATGATATTTACATAGTGCCGATGAAAAAATAAACAGGAGTGACACAGAACAAGGCCACCAGGAAAAACTGCAGCGTTATTATTAGCACCTTGTGACTGTAAGCATGAAATGTAATTCATAGCAGTGTATTCAAAATGATAGGTGTCCTCCTTGACAGCAAAAGAAGACCTTTAAGATGATGCCAGTGATTTCAGAGCAAAGGTGGAAGATGTCCCAACCACCACCATCACATTTTTCTTAATTCAACCTTTCCCTCTTCTCTTATAGAAAGAACTGAGTCTTCCTCGTAGGGGAAATCTGTAAGTATGTCATCTGGGCAATTCTGTGCATCTTTCGCTCTTTGTCCCCCTTTGCACCTTTTTTTGTGCCTCAAACCAGGCCAGTCAGTTGTCTGTCACATGTGGGCTTTATTGTGCATGCATGCTGCTTTTCCTGACGATAAACATTTACTTCTTCACATCCTGAAGTGCAGGAACTTCTTAAAGCACCTAAGAAATTTGGCTGAAAGATAGAGCAGGCTCACTGCCCAAGACTGGTTTTATGTAAATGTTAGGAGGGGGAAAACAGAGGAAGAGAGTGGGAGACATTGTAGGTCTCAGTGTGAGAGAATAAATTAAGCCGCTTCTTCTTTTACTGAAAGAATCCAGGCTTTGAATCTGCTTTTGTATTTAGTGCTAGAGTTGATTTAACATCCTAGTGCCTATATCATTGTATATTATTAGCTGAACTGAGCGAGCAAGCTGAGGAAGATCTAACAGGTAACTGCTTAGTTGTGACTGTTTATTTATTTTTTTGCCAAATGTTTAGCCTGCACAAAATTCCTACGTTATTAGATCATCGTTACAGCTCATTTCAGACATTAGGAGTAGAACAGCAGTGATACATTGGAGTGCATGAAGAAAGTTACCTGAGAATTTGTTGCCAAACAGAAGCCGTTCTGGTTAAAAATAAATAAATAAATACATGTGACTCCAACTTGTCCAGGGACTTTCCCTGGAATGGGCTAGAGCTGAAGCCAAGATAGTTTCAATAGCTGGGAATGAAAGGAAATATCAGAATCACTGAATAATATGTATTCATCTCAGCTGACAGTTTCAAAGATCTTTAGAAGCTAGATGTGTTTGTGCTGCTTACCTACACTTGTCCCACTGCCAGTATAGTGTTGTGAGACAAAGTTATGTTTGTGCAATAAAATCCTTTGTATCCCATTGTCTCTGATATCTGTTGGCCAAGTCAGGTGATTTCATTAAGGCTTTTCTGTCTTCTAATATACATCTATATGCATATATTGCTGTATTAACCTTATACAGGACAAAAATGAGCACCATATAAGTCCTGACATGGGGCAGTCTGTGTGTGTGTGTGTGTGTGTGTGTATAAAGAAGTTAATTTAATATATTTATCACAGTTAATACCTGTATTTTAAAACGTAAGAAAAAAGACTTAAACTCTCCGAACCATTGTTTTATATAGGCTTTGAAATCAATAAAAGTCGCGAGGATCCTTATAATCTCTATTGAAAAAATGTTACCTTCAAGACTATCGGACGCTCTGAAAATAGTCTTTCTAATTTTGATATAACTTCTTGTCAAATGTTATATTTATTGTTTCTATTAAAAAAATAAAAGAGAAGAATAAAAAAGAACAGGGAAAAAAAGATTTATCGTTGAAAATCTTAGATTTTTGTACCGGATGGATTATTTGTGTCATAGCGTTTTAAACCAGTATTTCCGACAGGACCTGAAAGCATCAGAAATCCCTCCTCCTGCTGGCGCGCGGCGATGCGGCTGCGCGTTGCGGCAGAGACGTTGCTGTGGTTGAAAGTTTCTGTCTCCAGAATAACGCTTTACGTTTTGTCGAAGCTAGTTATTGGTCGATAATGTTGCACCTCGTGGGAGACAGGCTGTCTCAAAAATTTTACTGATGACATTGAAAAGGAGCAGCGTGACCATGGCCGTCGCAGTTGCTAGCACCGCCGAGCTGCCCTGCCCGGGGTCTGGGGTCAGTCTGTATCGAAGAAGCAGAAAGGAGTTTGTGCCCTTGGAGTCGACGTACTAGCCTAACGGCGACTATAATACCAAATCGACAGGGGAGACTGTTTACCGCGATGCCCCCTCTTTAACGACAGTATACTAATTCTCATATCGGATCGGATTTAGCGGTCACCTCCAACATGTCTGATCAAAACTACTACTGGACCGTGCTGCCGAGCTACAAAACTAGTTTTGTGACCGGGGCCATGATGAAAAGATCGAAAAGGTAACAAAACCTAAAGCCTGTTTCTAACTAGAAAATTATCCTTGAAAATGGAGACGAATGTTAATTAGCCTCGACCAAACTGCTGCAAAACGTCTGGGGGGGTTGTATGTTTGTCATCGGCTGTGCCGTTCAGTCTCTGAGAAACAGCAATTTGTTGAACGTCGTAATTTCGAGCTATTTGATTCAAGGCGCTTAATGGCAACCTCCACACTGTCTGCTAATATAGCCGCTTCACAGCTCAGACATCTGATCCCTCCGGAGGGTCTGTGATAGCCCCTCAGCATTGCACTGTATGTGTCGGTTACATCCGCCCTAGTTTTTGTTTCCGACAGAGAAACGTGGCCATTGTAGACTGTTGTGTGTATGTGTGCGGGCAGGCTGCATTGTCTGCTGCCAGCTGTCGCATAAAGCGACACCAGGGCCCACTGCTGATCGGTGCACTGATGCGGTTAGTGGGACAGTAGTGTTGTAAACGTGCTTTCATCAATCAGATAAATCCAGTCAGCTCTTAAGGTGTCTTATCCCTTAATGCACTCAATATGTCTTTGGCAGTCAGTGAGTTCATAGTGATCTTAAATTGTCGCGTCTCTACCTCTCACCTCTTTGTCATAATCTGAACACATAATTGTTGGTTTGCTGGCACAATTTGCCTTTGTTACAATGGTGTAAACCGCAAGAGCTGCAGTTTATATTGCAGGATTTTAAAATGTAAATGTACTGCTATTGAGTGAAGCTTCAGAAGAAGAAGCCATTAGCACGCTGAAACATAGGCTATCTGTGGAATGTCAAACTATCCACTCTTTCCATGTAGTTGGGGGGTCATGCATCAATCAGTGATGTGGCCGATCCACCACAGTGAGCTGATGAAATTGGCTTCAGTTAACAAATGCAGCAGACATAGTTAACACGCAGGACTGTTTCAGTGGCCTACATTCATCATGTTTCATGTCTTCCTGCAAGATCCATACAAACCATTATTGTTAGTCCCAAATATCAGTCGTCTCATGACTGCTAGCTGTTGATGAAGCGCTCACGTGGTGTGCCAGTGTGATACAGTGGTGCTCTCATATCTTTCGGCAAAGGTTTTGGAGTGTTTTTGCTGATATTTATTTTTTTTAACAGGAGCAAAAAAGCGAACCTTCACAGTGTTTCTGTGGTTGGAGGTGTACTGTATACACTTTGAAGCCCAACTCTTGGCACACGTTGACCCTCTCATCCTTCTGTTTCTGTGGCACTTTGAGTCTTTTTGGGTTGAGGGGCCATATAGTTTGTGAATCTGCCTTTGCACCGACCCAGAAATGTCAGGCTTTGTTGTCGTCTCAGCCCCTCAATTATTTTAGGTCACTGCCAGAAGGAAAGGGAGACAGGATCTACTTCACCGACATGAAACAGAAAGCATTGAGATCACAAACGGGGGGGAAAAAAACAAAGAAAACTGAAAAGAAGCCAAAACTGTAATCTTAATGAAAACATGGAGTTAACACCTGCGTGCAGAAACCTGCAGGCACCAAATACAAACATACAGGAAATGGACAAGATAACACTGGTACTCTAAAGTAATGTTATACTTGGACTGGTAAGCCAAAAAGGCATTAGGTTGTTTGCTTTACTCCAAAAGCTGCATCAAAAGAGCATTTTAAACTCTACAAATATATGCAAATTAGAAGAAACACTGTTTGTAAATTGAAACCAAAAAACCGATCAGGACAAACAACACAGACCAGCTTCAAAAATACCAGCAGAAGTGAAACAACACTTCACAGCTCACAAAGACCGAAGTATAAACATGTGGACGGTTTGTCATGGCCTGCTCAATTATATCAGGGGTCACTTGGACCATTTTATTTATTTCCATCATGATAAAACAGCTTTCCAAAGTTCTTATTGTCTAATCAGGCTCTGCCAGTGGTACTGATTAGTAATATATTTCCCTTATCTCACATGACAATACTCTCAGACGTCATTGGATCGTACTACACTGCTCAATCCAGACTTCACATTATTTACTGATTAGAAGTGGCTAAAAGAAAAACAAAAAGTTTAATTCCTCTAAATATTAGAGCAGGTAATGTGCAGTTAGCGCTGATGCATAAGAAAGAAGTTGCACTCAAGTTGGTTTGTTTATATATTTACATGCAAACATGTTTGTAGTCATGCATGCATGTGTATGTTTGTATGTATATACATAATTACAGTGGCATTACTATTGTCAGCACATCAAAAAAATATGAATTCAGAGGCTGATCGAGTTTGATTTTTTTTTTTCTCCCACAGATTGATAAACAAAGTGTGCTTGGATCATGTTTGTTACAACACTGCATAAAACAGATGATCACTCTCTTCTGTTTGCTGTTTTCCACTCACAGTTCCCGTAACAACAAGAGAAGGAGTTTGGCGGTCGGGACCCCATCGCCCACGCTGTCACGACCGCTTTCACCTCTCCCACTCGCCACAGGTACTTGTGTTTCGGTTTTACCCGTTTGTCTGCTCGCCTCAGTGCAGGGTTGATTGGATTGGCTCATCAGAATTCCTGCATTTAGCCACCGCTGATTGCGTGTGAAGCAGAGAAGTTACAGAGAGTGGAATGTTGAGGAGAGCACAGGATTGCCTGTCTCATGTAGGATCATCAGTCTCAAGTTTGTTTTGATGCTGTATGTCGTGAAGCAATCGCTAGTTTACCTCTGGTGCTTTGTTTTATTTCCTTCTTTCTCATAATGTGCCCACAGTAGAGTGTAAAAGCCATACAATGCTTTTCCTTGTGATCATTTTTAATGTAGCCCCCTCTAGGCTTCCTCATCATTTGATCTCTCCACTTAAAAAGTGTCATTCCGTGTATCCCCCTTTTTGTGACTTGTCCTCAGGGACAGTGGAAGTCCTTTAATGACCTTTTTAGCAGTATGCAATATGGTGTGATTGTACCAAATAGCCCCTGCTGTCTGTTGACACAATCCTTCTTTGATTAGGACAGGACAGGAAGGGCCCTAGATATCTTTGTGTGTATGCATCACTGTCATTAAAAGATTTGATTGTTTCAGTTTGAACTTGTAAAAGAAAACCATCTGCAAAGTTGACCGTTGCACACTGATAGTGTAAAACATTAGGAAGCCAGTCCAGTTATTCTGCATTTAGTAATATGCTTAGATTCCTTCAGCTTCCTCTCAATTTTCAAAAATTTTGCTTTGTTTTGTTTCCTCAGCTGGTAGCAGTCCTTCAGAAAGCCCCAGAAATGTCTCTGCTAGCTCTTCTGCCAATTTCCAGTTTGCCCGCAGGTAAGAATGAAATGAAATGCTTTTTAATATAGTCTTGGTTTAAACCAGGCACATTATTGCAGTAGTTTCTTTTCCGTAGTAATATCAAGTGGAAAATGACTAAAACAGACATATTGCAATGAAAAGTACTTTAATGGAGTGAAATGGCAGCAAATTAGATTAAAAAAAAAAAGAGATATGTAGTCAGTGGAAGTTTATTTTTATTCTTGGCCCGCTTTGACTAAAACTGAAATCAGAAAAAATAACCAAGGGATCTTTGGTTCGGTGGAAACTGTGTGCACGCAAACTGAACATGCACTGGCTTGTTCCCTTTGCCCCTCAAATCGAGGCAGTGGAGAGCCATGTCTGACCAGCTGAAAGCCCCCAAGGTCACTCACTTACTGGACGTGGGTCTTGGCATTTGTCAACCCAATTAAGGAGGCGAGTTGGTGCACGCACTCATTACTCAGGGCTGCTGTGATTATGGAAGAAAACTGCAGAGCTTGCCTTCTCATCACGCGTGCCGTTTATAGACTCGCTGGGATTTAGAGGAACATTAGCTGCAACCAGCTTCCTCAGTCAGCAGCGGAAAATAGTGTGGTAGCCTGTCTCTAAGAAGACTTTCGTAAGGAGCAGCAACATGTATACTTGAATGTAGGATTTTCAAGAACACTGTAGTTTAAATGTATGTGATGACCGACTGTCCCAAATGTCATGAGTTAAGCTGCAGTGCAGTATGCCATATTGCACCATAGAGCTCAGGGATGCAGAGGGGAAGTCTTCTTAGAGGACTGCCTTGTGCAGCTCATCTAAATTTATTGACATTTTTAAGCTGCCAGAGTGTAGACAGATGCTGTGACTGCACTTTTGACAGCTCCACTGGGTTTATTTGTTATTCACAAAAGCTTCGTAGCTCTGCTTTTGGTGCAGTTATTTTTTTCATGTGAACGTGGAGTAGCCTTGAAGAGTAAGGACGACCAGTGCTCTGGTCCACTCTGATTTATTTATTTTGTTCCTTTCACAACTAAGCCATTGATTCCAGTATTGATCTGAAACCTTTGTCTTTATTAGTGGCTTCTTACAGCAACATGATACAACATGTTGTACATATCAGATAGGGATAGATAAGAAACCATACATGTAACACAGCTCACTAACCCTCAGATCCCTTCATTTTCACTGTCACCTCTAATTTAGCTACATGTCCCCAAGAGCTGGTTTCTCAGAGAAACTGCATTCGACCATCTTTTGTTGTCACAGATTGACTCCGTGAAGGAAACTGGGCCACTTCCTCAGAGTGTATTGGATGGAAAACTATTGGGACAGTGGAGATTTATTTATTTATTTATTTGGTAGAGAAAGGTTTAGGTTTTCTGCAGTGTTAATGAGTGCATTGTGTGTCTGTGTGCATAGTGAGAAACTGTCTGTAGGCCTCAATGCTGCAGTATGATAGCAGCTTGGCAGGTGTTCAGAAACAGCAAACAGCCACTGGCGGGGAGTTCTGTCAGACTAACAGGACTGTGACTTTGACAGGCAGACTTAATCTGTCACTGTCATTAAACAGTGTTTATTTTCTCTCTCACTTCATGCCTCCATTCGCCCCTTCTTTCTATCTGCATCTCTCGCCTCCATTCCCTTTTTTTGCATCTGCGTAGTCAACTGGCCCGGACTGAAAGGTAAGAAAATAACTAATTGCTGTTTCTTCTTCTTGCAAAGACTCAAACATCAAATGTTGTCTGTTGGCCTTTTTAGGCTTTGAAGATTGGAATGAGTCAACAGGATGTAAAGGTTTTCATATGAGCCTCCACTGAGCAGCTTGTTATTTATGTGTGCTTGTTTGTGTGTGTGTTTTTTAGCAGGGCAGACGGGCGAAGGTGGTCGGTGGCATCTGTTCCCTCCTCTGGATACTGCACAAACGCACCAAGTTCATCAGTATCTGTAAGCGGAGAAGTATCTCTTACTGTCTGTCACCTCTTTCCATCATCACACATTCAACCTCTCTCTAAACCACTACCTTGGGGGCATTTAGTTCTCCACTTTACAGTACTGTGGTGTCTTGTAAACTTCCGATGCTGACTAACTGAGCTGTAAAGCCCATCAGCTTACAAAGTGTCATAAATCTGCCTATAAATGATTGTTGAGTTTACAGCAGCTCAGGGATGTCAAACTCATTTCACATCGTGACCTACATACACATCTAAAGCTGGCCGGACCAGTGAAACTCCCCATTCTGCTAATATGGGGAGTTAAAGTTGGGAAGTTAACCTACATATTTAATCTCTGAATATAAAAAAGGGGGCGATTTCAACTGTATGTCTCATTTTCTACATGATAACAAAATGCTAGTACATGAAAGAAATGTGGTGGAATGACTCTTGGACCAAAATTGTAAGAAACAAATATTAATTTTACATATAGTCTAAAATTACAGCGAAAAAACTGTCCAGGTTATCCTGTGATTATAAAACAAAGATTTTATCAATTCACAAAAAATGTGGACCCATTGTTGAAAAAAAGAAAAAAGAAATCTCTGTAGTAAATAGTGGAAAAACAAACAAAACAGGAAAATATTTGACATGTAATTGTTTGTCTGTTACTTAATTACTTTGGTGTGGTATGAACGGCCACAGGGTAGGTCTTTTGTTAGCTAAAGCTTTAAAACTTGTGCAAATAAAGTTTTAAAATTTATGCCATCCTTCACATTTTCCAAAGCCATCCTGTGGATTTGCTGATCCAATTCTCCCCCCCCCCCCTCCCCCTTTGTAGAACACCACCAAAAATTGTAGATGTTATGAAAAAGAATGGTCAACACTGTAAACATAGACTCTGTGCACACAACCCTTTTAAAAGTTATAAAATGCTCGATTGTCGACATGGCAGAAGTCTTTGAAAAATAACTTGCATTAATAAAAAAAAAAAGTGTATGAATAATAAAATTTGTGTAACTGCCAAAATGTTTGGCTAGGTCTGTAAAGATTTGCTCATCACTCTGTAGCTGACAGCTGGTCGCTGGACACTGCAGGCTTTGGTTATGAAGATAACGTCCTCTCCTTTTGCGTCAGTGTCCTCTCTCCCACTGAATGGCACTTCAATAGTTTGTTTCAGAGTTGAGTAGTTTAAGTCTGTGGGACAGTCTGCTAACTGTCCTACTTTTGTCTTCTCCCTTATTAGCAAGGCGTCGCCACACAGCAGGTATCTCGCATGTTTGATTGGAGTTTTTATCCTGAGGCAACCCCACAGGGAACTTTTCACAGATCTTTCACGTGAAAAGCAAAACAATCTGTTCCACTGAACCAATCTTACCACTGCTACCTGTAATTTTTACCTTTTTAAAAATTGGTATTTTGTGGTTACTGGTCACCAAATCAGTCGTAGTCTCTCGTGAACACCACATGAAAGCCGTAATTAGCCAAAAATATGAATTTTAATAGAATTGGCTTGTGTTATTTATTGGTTAGTTTTAGCCTATTGCACATACCGTACAAGGAAGGAATACTAGAACAAAGCTTCCACAGTGGTTGTGAAATATTTTAGAAGTAGCATCAGCATTACATAGCTCGTCAGAGTTACTTCACTGTATCTTGTTCATAGAAAAGGAATGTTTACTGTGTTTTAGCATTAAAAAAAAAATCTTACTGACTCACAGTTTAGAACTTGAACTTCACTTTAAACTTACCGGGTCACTCGGCATAAACAGTAGTAGAGAAAAGTTTTGTGGTTTTAGTCTTTGGTTGTTTTGGGTTTTTTGCCATTTCCTCTGTGACAGCTTGTCTTTCTCAGATTGAGTTGCAGTCGACATAAATCCAGACTAACTGCAACCTCCTTGGCAAGGAAGCAGACTGCCAACTTTTTACAACTAGCTTTTAAGTCTACGGGGGGTTTGGATGATTGTTTTCGTTACATCTACAGAGCATTCTTGTCGCTTTAGCGTTATTATCGCTACAAATTTGTGACATTTTTGATTATAATTAGTTTTACTAATACAGTAAAGTGGTTGGAAAACTTCACACTGACAGCTTCGGGCACCGGTTGGTTTATAAAGCAGCTGTCTGGAGATGGATCCTGGTATCCTTTTTAATGACTCAGGCAGCCATAACAGGATACGTCCAAGGATGATGAATCCCTCCATCATCGACCATGTGTCATATTTTCCACCTTGGAGAGGATATTAGAATTAGTCCTCAGATGCCTTTTCCCCCAAGTTTTCCTATAATTATTGAAACAGTATTAAATGTGGTAAAAAGTAAATTTTGTTGTCATTGTTTTGTTTTGTTTTTTAAGTCAAAAGGCATAAAAGTTTTCTCATAATGGTATATTTCTCTACCTCCTATTCAACAACAACAACAAAAAAAACTTGGGGAAAGGGGAAACCAAAACACAGGAGGTTGTGTGAATTATTTACCATGTGTCCATCATTAAATGAATGACATCACACGAGACGAACTGAGTTGATCTGAGCGTGTCCTCTTTTGACTGCGGGGAAAGTACGGGAATAATAAAGCTTATCATTACAATAATACCGGTCCTGTTGAAATTTGCCGTTTCTTTTTCCTGGATGACATCACAAACGAGCAGGGGCTGTACCACATCATTTCCCTACTCAGCTTTCCCTTTCAGGAATACTGCAAGCACACTTTGTGCTGCCCAGCTATACCCGTCAGCTGTTTGCCGATGTCTTCTATGGTGATTATTAGGATTTTATCTCGAAAGCCATCGCTGAACCTGCAGTTGGCTCAAATGGAAAACAATACCCAGCTCCTGCGTCTCTGCTGAAATTCTGTATGGCCAACCACATGGCTTTGAGACGGTGAAGTCAGCCCTCCCTGTACAATGCCCCTTTCAGGCCTGCTGTCAGTGAGGTCTTTATGCAGCTCTTAGTCGATTCTGACAAGTCTCTAGTTTCCTGCTCAGCGTAGCCCCTTCACCCCCACCCCCACCTTCCTATCACTGCTCTGTCACGTCCTTGCTCTGTTGCTTTCTTTTCTTTCTTTCTTTTTTTTTTTTCTCCTCCTTTTAGTGTCTCTCACTGTCTCGCTCTGCTTTTCTTTCTCGTTGGCTCTTCTGTTTTTCCTCTGGCCAATGAGCCACTCTTCTCTCTGCTCTTCCTGGGATACACAAGATCCTAGCCAAATGGGAGTTCTCATAAATTCCAGGCGGTGTGTCACACATCCTGACTTGGAAAGGGAAAAAAACAAAGCAAAACATTCACACATGCTGCCTGTCTCCATGTGTGCTGCGTGAAAAGGGCGAAATCCTACTGAAAAATGCTTTGGGGAATCTATAAAGTTCACTGAGTCTTTCTTTTCATGTAGGAAGGGATTCATGATGTTTTTTTACATCACAAATCAACTCTCTGCATGTCCATATAAGGTGGTGCATCTAATTAAGATCTGCAGTGTAACATGAAAGTCTTTAAGACTTCGGTATTAACAGGATAAAGAGTGAGCAGACGTGTGAGTCTTACCAGAGGAAGCCTTTTAACACAGGATGTTATATAATCAAAGCACAGCCCCGCCTACGTATGAATATTTAAATAAAAATGGATAAAAGTGGTAGTGGCAGTGGTTGATTGCTTGTTTTGTTTTTTATTTCGTTAATTTAAAAAAGAATCAATAAATGCAACTTAACCATTGACCCTACTTCCCTGGGGGGTTTTTTTCTCTTCTCCACTTTTCCCTCCCAGTCCTCTTCTTCACAGGAGTTGTTGCACCAGTTGCCCTTTCAGCCCACGCAAGAGGATCTTCACTTCCTCTTCAAACATTTTCCGAGCCCAGAAAGTGTGGCAGATGAAGAAGGAGCCCACCCCATGCCCCCTGTCAGGGTCCGCTCACGCAGTCTCAGGTAACTTTCCTATACTATATGCTGATGCAGCATATAGACTGTCTCTGTTACACAAACATTTCTGTCATACTTCACTGGGCCGTTTGTTTTGAAAGGGTGGAACCGAAATCCCCCCAACTGGCTTCAGTCTCGTAGATTTAATTATGTGCTGCAGTAGCAATTGTATACAGCAGCTCACCACACACACCACTTAAGCACAAAGATAAAACTGTTGTGTTATTAAAGGCTTATTATACTAACTGTACATTCTATATACCCTTACATATCAATTCATTAGATACACTTTAATAGTACTTCATTGGACCCTCTTTGCCTTCACAACTGCCTTAAAATTTTCATGGTTTAGTGTCAACAAGGTGCTGGAAACATTGCTCAGAGAATTTGGTCCATATTGACATGACAGCATCACTCCGTTTCTGCACAATTGTCTGCTGTGCGTCCATGATACAAAGCTCCATTGGGTTGAGATTAGGGATGGGTACCGATATCCGGTGCCATTATGGCGGTTCTGACATAAACGGTAGTAACCAGACCGAAAAGCAGCGCACATTTCGGTGCTTTATTTCGGTGCTTTTTTTTTCTTTTTCTTTTTTCCTGAGATGTCATACACTTTGGATTCTAGCCAATCATTTTAGCTTTTCAAGAATAGTAGGCGGGCTCAGGTACGTACGCTCTTTTAGAGAAGAGCTACAGATTAAAAATGCCCAAGGCAAAGCGGTCAAAAGTCTGGCTGTACTTCACAGCAAAAGATGCAAACTCAGCAGCCTGCAACAAGTGCTTTAAGGTGATACTGTGCAAAGGAGGTGACACTTCGAATCTGATGAAACACCTAGCAACGCATAGCGTTTTTTAAAAGCCGAGAAATGCACCGTATTTGATAGCTTGCTGCAAGACTTCACAACAAGCACATCTGCTGCGGGTGTGGTAAATCTCCATTAGCGAGTTAGCGCGGATTGCCCCATGCGTGTTGTTATCATTTTGCAGAAAAAAAGAGACTGCTAAAAATAAAAACATAAGTTTTTGGACAAAGTTTGTGTTCTCTATTCTTTAAGCACCGTTTAAGCACCAGCACCGTTTCAAAAGTACAGATTTGGCACCGGTATCAGATAAAACCTGAACGATACCCATCCCTAGTTGAGATTTGGTGATTATAGAGGCCATTTGAATACAGTGAGCTCTTTATCATGTTCGCACCAGAAATCAGAACTCATCAGACCAGGCATAATTTTTCATCGGCTGATGTTGAGCTCATTTGAATTGTAGCTTTAGTTTCCTGATCTTAGTTGAAAAGAGCGCCACTTGTTGTGGTCTTGTGCTGCTAAATTGTAGTTTCAAATCAAGGTTTCTCTTCACTGGTGTGATCATATGTGCCATATTTAAACTGAACTGTGCTCTAAATTTTCCCTTAAAAAAAAAAGTATGTTTTTTTTTTTTTTAAATATGCACATTTTCTCACAACAGAAAGAGAAGATCTGCTAACGGGGTATAAAATGAAAACCTCAAACTTGTAACTAGCGTGGCTAACATGCTACCCGTTCCTGCTGCTTTACTACATACTCACCAAGTAATCAAAGCTTATAGTAAATTAAATAACTTTACCTGTTAAACAGTTAAACAGCAAATGTGGGATAGACTGTGCTAAGGTTTAAGCTCACGAAGCTTGCCACCTTAAGTAGTTGTAGTTGCTCTTTTTAGAACATTGTAAAGTTGTATGTGAATGAGCACTGCCCTGTTTGGTGAGGCTGCCACTCCAGCCCAGTCTAACAAAAGTAGGCTTAATGGTTTTTCAGGAGATATTTCGCACATGATTATAAAAAGATAAATTAAATACTGTCTGGAAAGAATATGTTGGGATAATTATTTAATGTGGCTCTGGAAAAACCCTCTGTGCCATTTGTGCGTGATCCCCTGGAATAGAATAAAACCTTTTCCTCATCACTTGGCATTGCTGGACTCATCCCTCTGAATAGCTGCAATGGCAGGCTGTTTTGAGGTTGCTGTAGAGTTTTTATGACAGGCTGGGGAGGATTTTGGCAGCCTGTTGATGTGGTTGCTTTTTTGGTGACGTGTCCATGCCTGTGCCACATGCAGTAATTCGCACTGCATGTGTACACTAATACTCTATAAGTACATCTGGGTAACTCTAGCAATTACACCGGAGAGAAATCTCCCCCTTGGGTTTTACCTGACCTTTGCATAGTTGTTAATGATGCATCTAAATCAACAGCAGCTGATTGACATGTGTCGCCGTTGTTCTAAATTTGCTCTACAAGTTGCGTAAAAGGATTTCTTGCAGCCTCAAAATAGTTCCGAGTGGTCTAAGCAGTTGCCATTACCCTGAAATAAATTCATACCGCGTGTGCAACTGTTGTGGTTACCCAGAACAAGTTAAGTTCATGTCGCATATTGACATTATTGTCATTTTTAGTATGCAACGTAGTGTAAGGGAGCACCCAGGACTGTTATTTTTAACATTTGTGCTGACAGTACATTGATTTGGAACTTGTAAGGAGGGTTTAAAAAGACCCCTGCGTGTAACCGAAACCCTCTGGGTGCAACAAATGTGGTCGTGGATGGTGCACATGAGAGCCTGATCTGAATTGTGTCAAACACGCTGTTTGTATGACCTAGAATGTTAGTCAACACTTTAATTGTTAATGTGGTCATAAAATGTTATAGCTTGTTGTGTGTATGGCTGTTCAGTAAAGATATAAATGTTGATTTCATCAGTTCAGTTTGCCACTTAGTTCAGTTGTTTTTCATTTTATTTTAGTTTGGTCTCCATTATTTGTTAATGGCATTTGTGCAAAAAAAAATCGACATTTGTAATATTTTTATCTGGTTTTTGTTTTTTTCTCCTTTGTCTTCTTTCTGTGAAGCCCTGGACGGACCTGTGGGGTGTTTGACAATGAGATTGTCATGATGAATCACGTCTATAAAGAACGTTTCCCTAAGGTAGCTCCCTTTCTGTGTGAAAGTCTCATAATCAAAGTTAAAATCTTCAACTGCTCACTAAATGGATTAGAAATGTATGCAGTACTGGTTTAAACGAAGGCTTTCATTTTTGTTTCCCAGGCGACGGCCCAGATGGAGGGTCGGCTGCTCGACATCATTGCAGAGTGTTCCCCGGACACCGCTCTGCCCCTGGCTGATGGTGTGCTTGGATTCATTCAGCACCAGCTGGTGGAGCTCGCCAGAGACTGTCTGGACAAGTCCCAGAATGGCCTGGTGACCTCCAGGTACTTCATGGAGCTGCAGGAGAAATTGGAGAAGCTGTTGCATGAGGTGGGTGTCTCTCATCTTTAGTAAATGATTTTTCATCTTTTTCATACAGAGAATTTTTTTTTCTCTTCTTTTCTTTTTCAAACAGTCAGGGAGTGTTGGTTCTTTCTAAGATGTTTCTAGCTGGTGTTATTGTTGGTAGCTCAGGTTGCCCTCTGGGACATTGCATGCTGTACTATAGCAGCACTGAGGACACTGAACATTGAAATGAAAAGGCCCATTTCCTCTGTTAATATTCTGCTGATTCCACTCCATCCATCAATAATGTTCTGTATTTTGTGTTATTACATAGGGGTGTGCAGTGGTCAAGTGTTCAGTTTTGTAATGATTGTGTATTCTACAGCAAAACAGTGGTTTAAATGATTATTTTGTCATATAATAATTTCTTTAATTAGTATACTCTTTGTGGCCACAGAAATTGTTTTGACCCTTCTCCACATGCTAAAATGCATATGTTGAGTTGCTTGCTAGTGTTGCTTTTTCATAAAGGTGTTTACAATTTTTTTTAGAGTGGATTTTTCTATGTTTAGCAGGGCAAGAGTTTGTTTTAAACTGACTGCTGAATAATCGCTCCTCTGACTGTTTCACCACCTCTATCATACACTTTCTGAACCTGCTGTTTGATCAAAGCGCTGTTGGATTTAGATAAGCAAGAATGAGTGTTAAAAAGTCAAATGTTTTTCCATTATTTATAAGCCTGGCAGAGCATGCAGTGAGTATTGATTCAACATGTTGAAATACCAGCCCTTGAATCACCACCAGACAATGTAAGGGGATGAAATGGATGCTAAAAATATCACCCGACAAGTGCAGACAGCTTCTTTGGATGAGTTGTGGTGGCTCATGGCTTGTGTCAAATGGATTAGGTCACTATAATAATCCATCACTATTTGTTCTGTTCAGGCGTATGAGCGCTCAGAGAGCGAGGAGGTGACCATCATCACCAAACTGGTCAAGAAGATTCTCATCATCATCTCCAGGCCTGCCAGGCTGTTGGAGTGTCTGGTAAGACTCAATGACAGACGCAGTAATAATCACAGCTTTACGAGTGACGTAATAACACTATGTCCATCAGCTTAGATGCATGCGTGAAAGTTGACTCATACATGATGTTGACATCTTGTAGTAGCGATTAGTTTGTGCAGTAATAATAACCCAGCTTACTGTTTACTAAGCCAAGTTCACCTTGCTAGCCTGGGTCTGTTGTTAGTAAGGTGCCAGTGATGCTCCAGTTTTCCAGGCCAGAAAAAAAGCCCAGATTGGAGCAGAAACATTTTTCTGTCATTTTTCAGCATTTTTAATTGTATTACAATGTTTGATCCATCGTTTCCCGATGTAGTAGTTGAAGCTTTTCTACATATTATGTCAACAAAGTAATGTATATTTGAGTGAAACCTGAACTGTCTTTCCTTTATTTTTTATATTTTGAATCCAGGAGTTTGATCCAGAGGAGTTTTACCAACGTTTGGAGGCTGCAGAGGGTCAAGCCAAAGTAGGACAAGGCATCAAAACTGATATTCCCAGATACATAATCAGCCAGCTGGGCCTTACCAGAGACCCCCTGGAAGGTGCAGATTAAAAAAAAAATATATATATATTTCTATCTCATTATTGCTTACTTCAGATAAATTTGAAAACCCTAATGCAGTTAGCTTAAATAAATCATTGTGAACTAATCTCGTAAGATACAGTGACAGTTTTGTGATTTTTAACTTTGATTCGCACTGGCGTTTAATAAAGTTGGATCTGTTTTGTCTGCTGCCGTTACAGAGATGGTTCATTTGGAGCATACTAGCCCGATTCACAGATCAGCGAGCAGAGAGTCTGATGACACTGGAGAGGCAACATCTGCACAGGTATAAGCTTACATTAAACGGTTACCAAATGCATACAGTGAACCCTAAAGTGACCCAGGAAGAACAGATGGCGCTCATGTCTCAAGTATTTTAAAAATATTCCACATCCTTTAGATTAGATTTATTTGCTTTAAGATTGTCTTACTAGTTTTTAAGTCACCGAGTGGCAACCTTTGTTGATACGGTGTTGATTTCTTAGGGTTTTTTTCCATATCTGTCACACATAAATGATCATCAAAGAAATTTTATTACTAAACACTTCTAAACCTACCTAACCCTCTGTGAAAAAGTAATTGCCTCCTTAAATAATAAATTAACTGATTAACCACATTTTTTTGAAAAACTGAATTTCATTTCACAAGCTACATTCAGGCCTGGTTACGACCAGACCTGCTGAATCAAAAAGATCACTTAAATAGAAGCTGTCCATCAAAATGAGACGGGCTAAAAGATCTCAAAAAGTAGCACATCGTGTCACGATTTAAAGAAACAGTCGAGGGGAAAAAAAGTCACTGACATCTGCTAGTTTGGAAAGTTTGCCAAAGTGAACCACAGTGTGAGCCATTATCCACAATGGAGAAAACTTGGAACAATGGTGAACGTTCCCAGGAATGACCTGCATTGAGGACTTATCACAAAAAAAACTAGAACATCATCTAAAAACATCCAATCCTCAGTTGCCTCAGTTAAGGTCAGAGGTTATCATTCAACAATAATGAAGAGATTCTACCAGAAAATCCTGAAGGAGGGTGTCTGGCCATTAGTTCATGGCGTAAACCAAAGATCACCTAGGTTATGTACCAGCACAATGATTCAAAACACACCAGCTAGTCCACCTCCGAATGGCTCAATAACACCAAAACAAAATAATGCACTTGCACTTGTAGTGCTTGAACCATAATAAAAGCTCTCGAGTGGCTTAGTCAAAGTTTGGGCTTCAATCAGACTGAGATATTTTGGTATGACCTTTAACAGGCCGTTCATTGGATGGTTCATGCTCAAACCCTCCAATGTGGCTGAAATAAAACAATTCTGCAAAGAAGAGTGGGCCAAAATTCCTCCACAACAATGTGAAAGACTCTTTGCCACTTATAGCAAACACTTGATTGCAGTTCTTGCTGCCAGGGGTGGCACAACCAGTTATTAGGTTTAGGGAGCAAGTGCTTGGTTTTTTGTTTGTTTTGGGGGGGGGTTATAAATACAGTCCAGGCAAGTTTGGATAGTTTTTTTTCTTCTTAATGAATGAATGAATGAAATCATAATTAAGAAAATTTGGCTTGTCTTTGTTTAATATTAAAATTTGTTTGATCTGAAACATTAAGTGTGACGCATATGTGAAAAACCTAAGAAGTTTGGAATAGGCAAATACCTTTCCACAGCACTGGATGTATTAGCAGGTTCCCAAAATCCCAGCCTTCAGCCTTTCACTGTGTGGATTTGGCATACTCTTTGCATCGTTGTTGTTGTTTTTTTGTTTTTTAAATCATTTTTCTCTAGCAATTTGTGTTGCGTGCATAAAAGATGCTCCAGTTGATAAAGCAGAGCTGAATTGTGTCTGTGACAGGATTAACTGTGGTGGGTGACGAACTTGACGGCTGTGGCATATGCACTAAAGAAATATTAAATGCCATTTGGCAGAGCATGCAGATTATTCTTGATTCAATGCTATTTAAGTGATAAATGGAGCTCTCGTTAACATGAAAAAAATTCTCCAAAAGTAACACAGCAGCTGTAATTTTTTTCCTCTCCCCCTTTCTCTTTCTCTCTCGTTGGGATTTGCGTGATTCAGAGCCGTGCAGCCTGCACCCCTCCTCGTAGGAAACCACTGGAAAGCGACTTTGAGACTATAAAGCTCATTAGCAACGGCGCCTATGGGTGAGTAAGACAGACTTCTTTGTTTGCGTTTGACTGAGTCAGTCGCACCAAGAACCACAGAGATCTAAATAAAAGTGGAAACTAAAATGTGGATGTGTTTTTGTAGTATTTTTGTGTTCAGGCTGGAATTAGTCAGGGCAGTTTCATTTCCAGTCTGAACTGATATTTACCACTATGTGATTCCCACAATTGATTTTCTTTGTATTATCTCCCTGCTTTCTTTGTTGATGATTGCTGATTATTTATTCTGTCTCTCTTTGTGTTGTCATTGCCTCTCCCCTTCCTTTTGCCTCTGTTCTCTTACACAGGGCCGTATTTCTGGTGCGCCACAAAGACACTCGTCAGCGTTTTGCTATGAAGAAGATCTACAGGCAGAATCTGATCCTTAGAAATCAAATCCAACAGGTGTTCGTAGAGCGAGACATCCTCACCTTTGCTGAAAACCCATTTGTGGTTTCCATGTTCTGCTCTTTTGAGACACGGAGGCACCTGTGCATGGTTATGGAATATGTGGAAGGTACAGTTGGCTCAGACTGTAGACACATAGAGACACATGCACACCAAGCTCTTATATATCTACCATACAAGGTACACCTTTAAGTCTAAGTCACCTGACCTGAAAGCGTTTTTCATGGTGGCCTCATTTGTGTTTTTAAGGTGGAGATTGTGCCAATCTGTTGAAGAATATCGGTGGGCCTCTGCCTGTGGACATGGCCAGGATGTATTTTGCTGAGACTGTCTTGGCTTTAGAGTACCTTCACAACTACGGCATTGTACACAGAGACCTCAAACCTGACAAGTGAGTCAGGCAAACGGATGAACAAGGAGAATATTCTTATTCCTTCCCCCCTCCCCCATATTTCTTGTGAACGCCTTAAGGCAGCGCTAAATAACTTAAAAGCTTTCATCATTTTTAAACTTGCAGTGATCTGTAGGGAGATGGAATCTTTCTGAAGATAGAGCAGAATATTTTCAAACTTTGAGTCTTTGATATTTTTTTTCTCTAAAGATGAAATTCCAGTGCTTTGAGGGCAAGCATTTGATGTAACATGAAACATTTCTTTGCTTACTTCCTTTGTAGTTTGCTGATCACCTCCATGGGACATATTAAACTGACAGACTTTGGACTTTCAAAGATTGGCCTAATGAACATGACAACCAACTTGTATGAAGGACACATTGAAAAGGATACCAGAGAATTCATTGACAAGCAGGTTTGTCTCTTCTTGCTTGTCTTTTTTTTTTCATCTCCTCTGATTTTGAGCTTCTCTAAAATCCACCTTTTCTCTTTAACTCTGTTTTTTTTTTTAACCTGTCTACAGGTGTGTGGTACTCCAGAATATATCGCTCCAGAGGTGATCCTGAGGCAGGGCTATGGGAAGCCTGTGGACTGGTGGGCCATGGGGATCATCCTTTATGAGTTCCTAGTGGGCTGTGTGCCTTTCTTTGGAGACACACCAGAGCAGCTCTTTGGTCAAGTGGTTAATGGTAGGAAATCTTTCAATTGAACTCATAGTTAGTTATTTTTATACACGTAAATCCAATCCATTTGTCATCCTCTCGCTCAAAATTCTGCAATAGATCTCTGTATTTTGGCACATCAGTCCCCTGGGCTTTGTAGATACCTTTAATTCCCTTCGTTGCATTCACTCCTGTGTTCAGATGATATTATCTGGCCGGATGGAGAGGATGCCCTGCCAGCTGATGCTCAGGACCTTATCACCAGACTTTTGAGGCAGAACCCTCTGGAGCGCCTGGGAACAGGTTGGTGACAGCATGCTTGCTGATGGATGAAAAACCTTCTCTGGGCCTCGGGACAGTGTGACTCTGAGGTGGCCAGAAAAAGGCAAAAACATGCTTTTTGTGACAGATGTGTCACTGGGTGTCTTACCCGGTCATAGTCTGCACAAGGCCTCATGTGGAGGAATTTAATTTTAAGAATTTAAATAAAGTTGGCACAGGAATAAGGAAGGATTTGAGGTCTTCTGTGTGTTTATTTGGCAGATTATTCATTAATAGAATTTTACATTAACCAGGCTTGATAAAATTGTTTCCCATAGACCTCCCATAGAGACAGAGAGGTCGACTAGTTCACAGTAATCAATAAGCTCTTTGGAGCTTTCTGACTTGAAGTGTTTTAGACTTCAAATTTCCTCTGTTTTGACTTCTTTACACTTTACACTTTGTTTGTGTTTAGGTCACTGTATGGGTTAGGACCTCTTTACTTTTCAGGCCTTTTAATTATGCACACTTTCAAAAGATCATTAAGGTCAGCTGACCAGATGCTTTTGGTTGTACCGGGAAGCTGGTTAAACCACAGATCAGGCCTTTGCTGTAACTGCAGGTAAACTTTGAAGCAGTCCGTTACACTTAAGTTATTTGAAAACTCATTTTTACTCTTGACATTTAAACCTGACTGAGACTTGAAATTTAATGTCTTATTGCATCCTATGTTGCACAGCACTACAGCACTAAATGCTTGTTTTTAAATTTTCTTATTAATTAACTTGAATTTATAGAAAATAGCAGCAAACTAGTTTTACAATAAGCATAAAGCCAGAGACCAGGAGAATGGAATGAAATTCAGTTAAGTTTTATTTATATAGCACCAAATCATGGCAACAGATTCCTCAAAGCGCCTCAGTGCAACAAAGAGTCTGGCTGGGGATCAGACAAGCTCAGACTCAAGTCTGGGGACCTCGATGCCCATATTTGAGTTTAATAACTTCTTTCTCCAGGTGGGGCCACTGAGGTAAAGATGCACAATTTCTTCCTTGGCCTGGACTGGAATGGTCTCCTGAGGCAGAAAGCTGAATTCATCCCACAGTTAGAGAGCGAGGAGGACACCAGCTACTTTGACAGTATGTGGATTTACTGACTGTGGGCCTTTTATGAAGTAGACGCACTGCATTGTTAAAAACCTGTGAGGAGAAATACATTTGGAAATGAGCTCTCAGAAAATGGATGATTTTATGAGCTAAATTTGTAGCAATGCACAGTTTGTGATCATTTATTGCATGCCACCATGTTTCCCTCCAGCCCGATCAGAGCGATACTGTCATCTGGGCTCAGATGACGATGAAACAAATGATGATGAATCATCTCTGGAGCTACGACAGTTCTCCTCTGTAGCCCACCGCTTCAGCAAGGTACTCGTTACTACTCATGAGTTATAATCAATATTAATACCTGGCTCATGGAACAAAGCAAGACTTTTTGTTTTGGTGTTGTAATTTGGTTAATGAAATACCTCTGGTTATTTGTAGGATATAAAAAAGGGAAAAAAAACCTTCTTCTTTAATCCATGCCACCTTTTTCCTCTTAAACTCCAGGTGTACAGCAGCACAGAGCACCTGTCCACCTCCACTCCATCCAACCTGAGCCTGTCGTCATCAGACCGAAGCCACAGCGAGGAGAAGGAGGACCGATGGGAGGGCAGGGGAGTCCTTTCCCCTGGTGACGGACACAAACATTTGGCGAGTGCAGACAAGAGGGCAGATGGACACAGGGGGAGGTGAGAGCATGGAACGAAGGAGAGTGATGTCCTTATTATGAGAACAAAACTATCACAGCCCTCTCTGTATTCACAAAATATAATAGTCTCTCGTATTGGGTTGAAGCGTTTCCTATTTCAAAAGGGCAAATTTTATAGAGGTCTTTTCACGTCGTTTTGTATTAAACCAATGAGCCATTCTAAAGTTCCCCCAGTTGGATGTTTTCTTGCGTGCATGTCAGATGGAGGCCTTTACATTGCCCACGGGTGTAAACACAAGTGATATATCCATTCAGCGTTTACTGAAGCCTGCCTGTGTGGTGCTGAATGGAGTGAACCATTAAACCATAAAAGAGAAACAGGATATCTAAGAAGAAAATTGATTAAAAACCACAAAATACCAAATAAGCTCATTTTGCTGCAGTTTTCGAATAAAATATTTAGGGCTGCAGCTATTGATTATTTCATTAGTTTAGTAAAAGCCTTGACATAAGAACACCCCAAGCCCCCCTTTAGACTTCCCAGTGTTTACTGCTTCCATATAAAAAGGACGGCTGGAGTCAGCCTTCAGCTCATCTTCCTATTTTAATGTAGCTTTACTTCTGTAGCTTTAGAGCTGATTTTTTTGCTGTGTAAAGTAAATGGTGGTGGATAAAGAGGCCTTTCTTAATGTCTGAGTTTGTTGATCAGGTGCTTCAATGAAGGACTCTCACTAGCTGTTTCCCAGTAATGGTTTTAATGGTGATTACAGGAACAGAGCTGCTGTTTTGGACACTAGAAACACTTTTGTCTTTCACTAAACCTGAGCTCAACATCTCAGTATCAACTTGTTAAACTGTGTCATCATCACTATTGTTGTTGTGTTATCAATGTTAAACACTTTTGTTAAATGTTAAATCGTTTACCACAGAGCCGTGTGCATCGAAGCAAAGACTGTGCGTCAAGCATTTTTTTTTTTAATTTAAAATAATTGAATCATTCACATTACTCAGTGACTCGTTGCAGCCCTATAAGTAATGCACTTTTTAAAAAACGTTGTGGCAGTTCTTCTTGTTTTTATTGTTGAAAGACATTTATTGTGTAGTTAGGAAGGAAACTGTTGTTTACTGCCCAATTTCCAAAAGAGAAACTTAACTAAAATCTGCATTTTTATTGGACCTGCATTTTACCTTTATCTTTCTCAGTCTCCGTCCACGTGCGTCATCCAGCTCCTCACAGTCGGAACGCAGCACCAGCCCACTGGTAATGAACAACACCCAGAGCTTTGACATCATGCCTCGAGTTGCCATCCCTGCTGATGAGGAGGGTAAGAGTATAATAAATGCAGAAACTACCTTATCTACTTTTTTTTTTTGCTGCTGTGAAACACTAGTACTCACACATTGTACCCACTATTGTAGATGGGATGGTTTCCAACCTGCGCCGCATCCGTCTCCGGAGCAACAGCACAGGTACGAGGCCATCCTTCAGGAGGGGGGCATCTCGACGCATCGCACATCAGTTAGAGACCCCAGAGAAACCCAGGTCCCCCTCTGGAAAAGTCCCCAAGTCTGCATCAGTCTCTGGCCTTTCACTCATCATTACCCCAGGTATCTTTGCAGGATGAATGCATTATAGAAAGTGTTTGGAATTAAAAGAAAATGGTGACAAGAAACGAGTGTTCATGTGTTCACAGTGCCCTCTACAGCCTAATATTGTGTAATGATTGTAAATATTGTAAAACACATTATTTATATTTAAGTCAAGATTAGAACAGTGTTTGTTTGGTTTTAATTACTGGATGCAGCATTTTAAAAACAGTAGTGCTTACACTTTATAAAGACTCAGCTGTGTTTCTTCCTGCTTCTCTTCTGCTCCTAACTAGATGACTCAGGAGGTCCTCCTACGAGCCCCAAATCTTCTTTGTCCTTATCATCCAACCCCTCGTCCAGAGACTCGTCTCCCAGCCGCGATCTGTCCGTCAATGTCAGCTGCCTCAGGCCTCCGGTGGTTATCCACAGCTCTGGGAAAAGGTTTGGGTTTGCGCTGCGAGCCATCAGAGTCTACATGGGAGACAGTGACGTCTACACCGTTCATCACATGGTCTGGGTATGTGATCTTATCTGGTACTGACTAGATTTATACTATATTGGGAATCAAAAGCATAGATGTTTAAATAACTTTATGGCCTCTTTTTCTGCGCTGGCCCTAAAAATGAGTGAAATCAGCATCACCAAGCTCAGCAACATGCAAACACTGAGAGACTGTTTGCTAGTTTTTAGGTATGCGTAGGTATAATTTAAAACCAAATGACTGAAAATAGTTTCCAGCACATGGCAAAGAAATTGTGCCATCTGCTGGTTTCCTGTTGGAACATGTCAAACTTTTTCTTTTACTGAACTGAGGTTTTAAACAAAGCTTATGCAATTTGGTATGATTCGTTTTACATTCTCGTGATTTGACAACAGCTGCTTCACTCAACCAGAAAGCCAATAGTCAGACTCATAGAACCCCAAAAATTGACCCTCCTCACTCTTTTTAAAAAAAAAGCCTTTATAAAAGCTTCTTCATAGCCTTTCACTTTATAGGAGAACTCTGTGGTCATAATATGATGGACATGGTCAACAACAATACTCAGACAGGCTGCTGCATGTAAACGATGCTTAGTCAGTACTAAGAGGCCCAAGCAGCCAAAAAAATATTCCCCACACCATTACACCACACTGAACCGTTATTATAAGGCATGATGGATCGATGCTTTGTCAACCATCTGAACGTTGCAGCAGAAATTGAGACTCATCTCCCAACATTTTTCCAATCTTCTGTTGGCCAGTTTTGGTAAACCTGTGTGAATTGTAGCCTCAGTTTTCTGTTCAGGAACAGGAGTGGCACCCACTATGGTCTGCTTCAAGGTTCAGAGATGCTCTAATTAGTTTCATATGAGTCTGTATATACCTTAACATTCACAAACGCTTGACTCTCATCTGGTCCTGAGGTGGGGTTGAAAATTTTAATTGTGCACTCACTGTCAGAGCCCTGAAGCTGTAGGACAAGCTGCCTGATGAAATCAAGTCAGCAGACTCAGCGACCTCTCTTAAATTTCTTCAAGAAGCATACCTTTATTTATGAAACCTTTATGCTGCCGTGATACTTTGTTGCTATACATGGCATTTTTTTCACACAACAAGTTTAAACTAAGTAAACCAAAAACACTAGTTTTACTAATTGCATAGGTGAAACGCAGCAACAGCCATTTAGATGGTTGCTTTACCAGTAATTGTGAGGTTGTGTCTGTTTGGATCTAGTGCGTTGAGGAGGGCAGTCCTGCACACGAGGCAGGATTGAGGGCAGGTGACCTCATCACTCACGTCAACGGAGAGTCAGTCCAGGGTCTCGTACACACTGAGGTGGTGGAGCTTTTGCTTAAGGTATGTGGATAACGTGTTTTGTTTCGGGGGTTTTTGTTGCTTTTTTTAAAATGATCATTATAATGTATGGAAGATTAAAACTGTCAAATTAAAGAAAGAATTGAAATAGAAATTTCAATTTTTTATTTTATTTTATTTTTTTGCGACAGAGTGGCAACAAGGTGACCCTCCAAACCACTGCTCTGGAGAACACGTCTATCAAGGTTGGACCTGCTAGAAAAGCGAGCTACAAAGCCAAGATGGCCCGGCGGAGCAAAAAGAGCAAGAGGAAGGACGGACAAGACAGGTACACGGGCGAGAATGAAATCATATTGAAGAATTGGACGTTTTACTCCTGCTTGAAGCCTCATGTTAGATCTCAGATAAATAGCAGAGTTCCTATTTGCTGATTTTGCAATTATAAAGTCGGCAAATGGAAAAAAATGACTTTTTTTTTTCATTCTGCAAGTCTGATTCGTGCATTAAAAACCTTAAAGCCTCCGAAAAGCTTTTTGTAAGAGAGACGGAGTGATGCTCCTAGAGAAGCTTTGATTAGCATTACAGTAACACGAGTTGGCTCCTTGTCTCAGATGTAAATGATGTAAATTTGCTTTTTTACAAATTTTTTTTATTAATTTACTTTTGTAGCAGACGACGCAGCATCTTGAAGAAGCTGTCTAAGCATACACCGCCTCCACCCATGCAGAGCAGTCGTAGCTTCTCTTCGGGGTTCCACCAATCCTCTAGTGACAGCCTCTCTGGCTCACCAACACAAAGCCTCTCTCCTGGGCCTTCAACACCTTGTCGCTCCCCAGCCCCTGACCACTCTGGAGGTGAGAGAAGAGGACAATCGTTCTTGTAGTGATGTAGTTGTCTCTTTCTGGAGGAAGTGTATCCACTAAATCTAAACTCTTTTTTTTTTGTTAGATTCAAGTTCTTCTCCTTGCTCCAGCTCACCAAACTCGCCCGTACCGCAGGCTCGTCCCAGTTCTCTTCACGTCTTGGGTCGCTACACAAAAGCTGGTCGTTGCAAGTCCACCAGCAGCATCCCTCCTTCGCCTCTGGCCTGTATCCCACCACCCCAATCTCTTTCTCCTCAATGCTCGCCATCTAGTCTCCCAAGTCACCCCAAGTCCCTGCACAGTTTTCACGGCAAGACTTTGTCACCTCCTACAATCGCTCGTCATTCTGTGCGTCCTCGCAGCGCAGAACCGCCGCGCTCACCGCTGCTCAAGAGAGTTCAGTCAGCAGAGAAACTGACTGGTGACAAGATGACTGGGGGTTACCACGGAGATAGGAAGGCTTACAGCACCCGACGTCACACTATGGAGGTGCCCTTGTCTGAGGGAGAGGGGCTGGAGGACCTAGAGGGAGACAAAGCTACAGGGTTTGTTTGCGTAGGCGAGCACGGCCGCCAGGGCCTACACATTGGAGGGCAGAGAGGCCACCAGGACACAGCCAGCGGAGGCAGCGATCACCACCGCTCTGCTGCCTTGCCACAACACCGCAGCACCAACAACCACTCAAAGGAGATGGTGGTGATGAGGAAGCTGGCTCTATCAGAGCGCAGAGACTCCTTCAAGAAACAGGAGGCGGTCCAGGAAGTGAACTTTGACGACTTGGAGGAGGCGGCTCTAAGCCCCACGCTTCCTGTCACACAGTCAAAGGCGTTCAAGGCATCCTGGATCAACTCGTCACAGTCGGAACCCAGCGGCAAGCTGGGATCACAGGGTACCACACCGCAGAAAACCAAGTCAAAAGACAAAGAAGGGCGTTAGTTGTTCAGTTCTATTTTGCAGGGATCACAGGTCACAGAAGATGAGGCTTTGACCTGCTATCGTACTTGCATTTAAAGGCCTTGCATGTGTCCAGAAAACTGTGACCAAGTCCCACATCATCACAGAAACAAAGAGTCTGCATTTCTCAGTACCACACGCATCCTCCTACACTGTTAACAGATTAATGACTGCCAAACGAAGTTTACTTCAGAGTTGCTCAATTTCTCTCTCGGTTCTCAAATCACTGTGGCGCCTCTAACGGATGTAATTGTAAATATTTGTTGTTTTTAAACGAAGAAACTTATTTATGACTTTTTAATGATTATTTGTTTTTGTTTTGTTGTTTTTTAATTTGTTTGTTTGTTTGGTTTTTTTAAGTTGCTATAAATGCCTCGGACGCTTCAGCTGTTCTAATTTTAGGAAGTGCACAGGAGAAAAGCCAGGCAACAACTTCTCAGTGTGGTCTTAGTAGGTGTGGAGGGAAAACAAAGATAATATTAGTCAATATTGCAATATTCATATGATTCTTTTTTTTTTATACTGTTGTGTGTGTGTCTGTGTGCGTGCGTGTGTAACGGGATGTTGTTTCATATACAGACTGCAGTGCTCATCCTGCACTGTATATGCTAAAAAGTTCCATAACACGTTTTTTGCTGCCTCTCTGAAGAAATCTATCATGCGGATTGTGATCGTGACGATTCGGAGTCATTGTTTCTCGACGCAGGGCATGTACAAATCGGGACAAAAGAAAAATAACAACATTGCAACAGTTGTCAGCTAAGCTGTGGCGCCAAAGCATGGTTTAGCTTAATAATAGGTACTGTAGTTGTACATAAGAAGCCTCATGTATGCTTGGGTCTACTGCCACTGGCTGTTTTTTTGTTTTGTTTTTGTATCCGTGCTGCCACCTGTCTGTAAGTTGTTTAAATTATAACCTGATCAACACACAGGTGTGTAGATAAAACTTAGTGGCTACCTTCCCGGCTGCTGCAGCCGACCTCCGATACCTTTGTGAACCTAACCTCCGTCCAGCTCCTTACAAGCGTAGTCTAGCAGAAGTGTTTGCACAAGTCGTAGCTGCCGTGTAACAGTGAGAGTACATTTATATTTCAGGGTGATCTCTTTCTCTGTGGGATTCAGAAATTGTACAGTGGATGCAACAAACAAATCTGGCTCACTTGGCTGTTTTTTTTGTTTTGTTTTTTTTATGTGTTTTATAGATGAATGTTTACATTTCAATGCAAATATGTGGGTGGACTTCAGTGGAATCTGTTAAATTATTGTATGGGGAAAAAAGAGAGGGAAGGCGCAGGAGAGGCAGACCTGAGGCCCTGGGTGGATGAAGGAATGATTCAGTGGTAATCTCCTTTTTGTATATTTTGATATGGAAACAGTCTTGTTGCAGTACTAATTACCTATGCTGTTGTATATCATATAAACAATGGTGGACCTTATAACAGCTATCAGTGAAATGTAAGGGTGGATGGACTCGTGTAAGATGTGAGTTAAGTGGCATGGCTTTAATCCCAAGTTGCGATTGACTGTAAAGAGTTGTGCATCTTTTACATCCCAGTAAATCTCCACAGTTTTACTCGGTTTGAGAGCTTGGAAGTTTTGTTGGATAGGCCTTGAATTCTTGAATTTGAGGCTTTCAGCTTTAAAATTTGTTTTTTACAGTGAGATATAAACAAATGGTATTTGGTTTTCCATTATGTACTCTTTAACTAGTTTTTACTTTTAAAAAAAATTCTAATTCTGTTCTTGTTTTTGTTTTGTTTTTTGTTTTATTAGTAGTATTGTTTTACTCCAAGAACTGTTTGGATTAGCAACTAAAAAAAATCAAACAAAGTGGTTAGAGAAGAGGAATTTGTTGATTGTTCCTCTTTTTGTGAAGGCTCACATCTATGTTTTGCAGTTAAGGGAGATTTAAATAAGGGATTTCTCAAAGAATTTCAGCATATTGAACCTTGGATAAAGGTTATGTTGTGTGAATGAAAACGTAGACCTTTTTTCACTGTACTTTAGGGAGAAATGTGTGTATGTGCGTTTTATCACTAAATTTCTGATGCAATATACATTTTAATATGTTCTTAGTGTTGAATTGCTTTATTTTTCATTGTAGTATCCCATAACTTTTGTTGGGTCACCCTGTTAAACTTTTATAAATCAGGCACAGGTCTGAGCAGCAGCCCATTTTGCATCAAATGAAGCGTCAGAGTGAACTCCTTGTCTCTGATCGGCTTGTGCGTTCATGTGTATGACAAATTCACTGTAACAGCCCCCACCCTTCACATTTTTCACTTGTGTTTTTGTATTGGTGTGCCCCACCACCATCACCACTCAACCCCCTTGTCTCTACGTGGCAAACTGCCCTTTGTGAAATGCCTACCATGTGGGTATCTGGTGCAGACTGGTGTGACATTGTCTGTTATTCTCTTGTCTCAACAGTGCTTGAAATAAATGAATTTCCAGAGGACTGGAAAGTCCAAGACTACAAGACGTTGCACTTGTCATTTGTCCTCCTATAATAATATTTGCACATTTACAGTACTGTATCAAAAAAAATTATAGTTTTTCTTACTTCGTGCACCCTTTTCTTAATTATTTGCTTCCAAGGAGACAAACTTTCTTGTAATTCTTTAAGTGCTCTGGAGCAATAGTTCTCCATGATTTCTGAAGGTCTTTTCAAAGTTTTTGGGGAGGGCGTTGGCTCCTTTTTTAAAAATCATTTTCAATCCAGTCCTTGTACCCGACCATTTTAAAAGGAATTTTTTCTTTTTCCAATTTAAAAAAAAAAAAAAAAAAGAAGAAAAAAAAGACCAGTGTTGTGTAGCTGAAAACTTTGAACATCTTAGCATGGTATGCAGCAGGTCCTTAAAACATTTGAGGAAACTGGACAGTGGGAGACAAAATAAGAAGCAGCAAATCTACAAACTACAGCAGATGAACCTGAAAATCATGTCCTTAAAAATGGGGAAAAGATCCTCAAAGACCTGACACAGGACTCGGATACCTCTATCCCTTTTAGTTGATCCATCACTGTTCACTGAAACCTCATCAGAGGCTGTGTTAGAGATCAAAGTGATGGAATTATGAATGCAAAAAGGAGCCTCAGATTTTGATCAACCATTTGGAATGCATCTAATGAGCAACAGCTTCGTTTTCAAGCATGACAATGATCCCAAACATCCTGCCAATTACAGGTAGGAATCACCAGTATGCAACCAGCTGCCAGCGAGCTTGAATTGCGCTAATCTATAAAGACTCTTCACAGTCATGGCAGCATGTTGG